ACCCAGATCTGGGCAGAGGAAAATTATTCCAATAAGGAAAAGGACAATTTGAGGATTTGGAATAGAGGGAAGGACTAAAAGAGCCAGTAGTAGAATAGCTTATGGCTAATATTTTTGGAGAAAAAGGCAGTTCTGGTGATTTTTGCAGTGAACTGCTCAGCTCTGGAAAATGTATACGTCCTTTCTTTCCATCAGTATCCCCTATGAAATCATCCATAAATTATTCCTTTATTGCTCTCTATTACCTGTGAAGTGAATTTTCTTTTTTTCTTTTTCTTTTTATTTAGAGATAGAGTCTCTATCCACCAGGATGGAATGCAGTGGTGCCACCTCGGATCACTGCAATCTCTGCCTCCTGAGTTCAAATGATCCTGCCGCCTCAGCTGCCCTAGTAGCTGGGACTATAGGCATGCACCACCAATGCCCGGCTAATTTTGTGTGTGTGTGTGTGTGTGTGTGTGTGTGTTATTAGTAGAGATGGGGTTTCATCATCTTGGCCAAGCTGATCTCGAACTCCTGACCTCAGGTGATCCACAACCCTTGGCCTCCCAAAGTGCTGGAATTAGAGCTGTGAGCCACCACACCCAGCCTGTCAGCTTTCTTTTGGAGAATAAAACAGACTGGGTCTTGCGCCAAAATTCAGGGGAAGCTGCGCCCAGACAGGTAACAAAATATTATATACATTCAATAATAGATAGGGTTTTTACATGCCAATAATAACCATTTAGAAAACCAAATTGAGAAAAATTACACATATGTAGTGACAAAAGTACATAAAATATCTAAAACCAGATGATTAGAGCAAGACGGCAGATAGATCCCGTGCCCCACTCAACATCCATCCAACTGGGAAGAAAATGTTTTCAAGGATCAATTCTTAACAGTAGAGGAAAATAAGAAAACGTTGTCAGTGGTCCACCAGAAATATTGAGACATTCCTGGGAGATAGAGTAGATGGGATCAGACTGATGGAGAAACCCAAGGAGACAAGACCACAGCTCAAATCACTGCAGGCAAGAGATGCTGTTTGTCTTTTGAGACAGACTTACTCTGTCACCCAGGCTGAGTGCAGTGGCATGATCTTGGCTCCCTGCACTCTCTGTCTCCCAGGTTCAAGTGATTCTCTTGCCTCAGACCCCGCAGTAACTGGGATTCACAGGCACCCGCCACGATGGCCGGCTAATTTTTGTATTTTTACTAGAGATAGGGGTTTCGCCATGATGGCCAGGCTGGTCTCAAACTCCTGACCTCAAGTGATCTGCTTGCCTCTGTCTCCCAAAGTGTTGGGATTACAATGTCAGTCACTGTGCCTGGCGAGGAGATGCTCTTTCTAACAAAACCCCTTAAAAACTCCAAATCCAGAATCAAAAAAAAAAACCAAAACAACAACAACAAAAACAAAACAAAACAAAAAAAAAAACACCACACAGAACGGGAAGGGGTCTTAGCATAATCATCGGGTAGGTTAATTTAAAATTGCAGTTGAAACATCTGAATCAGCCAGGTTCCCCTGCAACACCACACTCAGATTGGCTGGCAGTAGCCACTTTCGCCTGTAAGATGAAACTGCTAATCATTCATTAAAGAAAGTGAAGGCTGGCGAGGTGGCTAACGCTTGTAATCCCAGCACTTTGGGAGGCCGAGGCCAGTGGTTCCCAAGGTCAGGAGATCGAGACCATCCTGGCTAACACAGTGAAACCCCGTCTCTCTACATCGCTTGTAATCCCACTTTGGAGGCCGAGGCCAGTGGTTCCTAAGGTCAGGAGATCGAGACCATCCTGGCTAAATACAGGAACCCGTCACTAAAATACAAAAATTACTGGGCATGGCAGGAGCCTGTAATCCCAGCTACTCGGGAGGCTGAGGCAGCAGAATGGCTTGAACCTGGTGAGGCGGAGGTTGCAGTGAGCCGAGATCTCGCCACTGCATTCCAGCCTGGGTGACAGAATGAGGACTATCCTAAAAACAGACAGACAGACAAAACTAAAGTAATGTGTCAAAACTTGATGGACTCCTCTCAGCCTCACAGTAATAATGAAGGAGAGAAACACATTTGTGGAGAGGGGACCACATCTAATTTTATCTGTCCAAGATAGACAGTTAGTCGGAGCTTTATACACCCAAGGAGCCTAAGGAAAAATGTTCCCTGTCATGACTCACAATCTTCCAGCCACCCTCTTGCACTCTGTCTGGGCTGGGACCCATCTTATGGATCCCATCTCCTCCCCAGGGAGGAAAAGTAGAAAATCAAATCCTTCAGTATCTCTTTCAGGTATCCTCTCCTCTACTTGCATGGAGGATATGTACTGTATTTAGTAGCCGAATGTTACATTTGTGTACATGAAACTATATTGGGATAAAATAGAATTTGTTTCTCTGAGACACAGGTAGAGGCTGTCCACACTGGACTGGGCAGAAGCCTCTTCCTGCAGTGTGGCAGGCAGGGCATGCTCACAGATCTGGGAACTTCTGCTGCTCCTGGAGCCCCACAACTCCTTCCTGTACCTCCCTTGTGGTTGGGTGGATGAGCTCCAACACTTACTTGGGCATCCCCTGCTTTTGTTTGATCCTCTTGCCCACACACTGGCTATCTCTGTCTCCCACTGTCCCCACTATGACCACGATTGCCTCTCCCTCCCTGCACTCCTCCCCTCTAAGGGCTCGTCCAATTCCTCCCTCCCTCCATCACACACACTTGTCCTCCCATCGTTTCTGACGTCAGGAGTTTCTCCAAACTCAGCCCTCCCTGCCCCTGCCAGCTGTAGGGTCTGGGTGGACACATTTACCATCTGTCTGGGACTCCGTCTCTCATCTATCATAGATAATGACAGGTCCTCCTTCCAAGGCTGGGGAGAACCAGGAGGCCAAGGTAGACAGTTGTGGACAGTCAAACAGCTCCTCATCCTGCCTCCACCTGGGGCTGAGGTTAAGTTGTTGTGTGTGAATGCAGCCTTAATGTCTCCAATCACACACAACGATTTGTTCTAAAATAGACTCCGCCCTTCCCTTCCCACAACTGTTTCCTCTTGCACTGTGCAGTGGTACCTGTGAGAAAGAATACACGCATTCCTAATCATCGTCCCTGCCCCAGCCTCAGGCCTCTTGGTTGGTGGGAGACCTGATGGCAGTCTCATGCTTCTGTCCAGGGACTTTCCCACCGTTGCTCCTGCATGGAGACTAAGTGGACTTCATTCTGTCCATCATGCAGGGCCCACAGTGCACGCATCTTCTTCATTCCTCCACATTTCAGAGGATTGATCACCTTCAGGTTCTCCCATATATTCAATGGATCGTCCCCAGATCTTGAACTTGGAAATTGTTCAGAGGGCGGCGCTAAGATCTAATCACCTGCTGCAGAATCCTGCTCCAGACTACCATGTATGGTCTCTATCAAAATAAAACTGGAGGCTACACGCGGCGTTCAAGCCTGTAATCCTAGTACTTTAGGAGACGAAGGTGGGAGGATCGCTTGAGCCCAGGAGTTCAAGGCTGCATTGAGCGATGACTGGTGCCACTGTACCCAGCCTGGACAGAGCAAGACCTCTGTCTCTAGAAAAACCAACCAACCAACTGGAAAACATCCTCCTCTAGAATGGTGGTCAGAACATCTGCCTGCCTTGTTCCCTGATGTCCTTCAGCACCTAGAACAGCGCCAGCAGGAGTACGCACTCATTGGTGTTTGTTGAATAAATGACTCCTCTGATACAGCAATTCCACTTCTAAGAATCTCTCCTAAAGAAATATTCACACACGTGCACAGACCTGTGTGCAATAATAGAATGAGAGGAGCAAACAATTGGGGAACGTTTGCAAAGGTTTATTAACTGTCAGTAACTGATACACGGAATCAAGGAGAGGAGTACATGCTGAACAGGAAACGGAGGAGGGGTTTGACCAGGACGCATGGCACTGGGGAAAAGCAGATGGGAGATGCTTATAGTGGTACTTGGTGTGACTGTGTGTGTGTGTGTGTGCGCTGCAAGACGCGCGAGTGTGTGTGGTGTGTGTGTAAATGCAGAGGAAACTGAAATTAAGCACTCAGAACTGCCCTCAGTAGTCACATCTGGGGAGAGAGGAGGGTAGCGCTGTTCTATGCAGAGAATATCTGATCATACTTATTTTTAAGTAGATGCATGGATATACAAACCGAATACGTTAAGCGTGTCTTGCTCATCAATGAAAAGGATAATATCTAACAGAATGGCACACTGTAAGACAATACAACGGAAACGCTAACATCGAACTCTTGGCACACTAAGAAAAATGACGCTCAACTTGCACTGTTAGAACACTGCCGCTTTTGCTATGCACCTGATGACAAGGGGTCCGCAGCCATGCCCATGTTCAGAAAGGTCACCACGTTCTGCTTCTCATCATGGGCATGTGTCATATCCCTGAGGCTGAGGCAAGAAGAGAGAAGGAAAGTAAGTGGCAGTGAGTTCCCACCGTGTGACCACTCAGTCTCAACTCCTCCTGACCTTTAGACCCTTCACACTCTGATTCTGCCCTACCTCGGGACCTGCACACACCTTCCACGGTTCCTCGAAGAGAACCATCCGCTCATGCCACAGTGACTTCCTCACCTGGTTTATCCATTCCTAGGCTAGAGGAAGGTGTGGCCCACACCTCAGGGCTGACCTGGGGTTTGGGAGCCCACAGCATCCTGGGTAGGAGGATCCTCTGGATATACAGGGGCAGGGGAGTAGAGTTCTCTGCATGGAAGCATGGGAAACCTCACTCATTCAGCTTCACTGCTGTACCCTAGAAAATTATGAGAAGGAATGATTTCGGGAAATAAGTGACAAGATGGGATACCGGGCACAGAACAGAATAGCATCTGCAGGGGATGTGGGGATGAGCCAATGTCACTTACGGAGTTACTGTCTTCTCATAGGGTCGCTTGATCTCTTCAAGTAATCGCCAGCTGCTTTCTCACGCAGTCTGTGGGGTCCAGGCATGTTTCCTTTGGGTCCTATGATGGAGAAGAGTTGGAAGATGAGGGTTGGGTAGGTTGAAGAGTGTTAGGCTCTGTTTTCTCAAAAACAGGAGATGCCTCCATGCTCCCAAGTGCCCACAGGCCTTCTTTACCCAGTTTTTCACATTCTCTGGCTAGAGAGGCTGAGACCTTAGACCCACACCAATACAGGCCAAATGGCAATTAAAGTTTTAGCTTCTGGCTCCTTCCGTTGTGAGGTTTAGATTCCCAACATCTTCACTTACGGGAACGCTGACCCATACCTCCTTTCACTCTGCACGTATTTGTTAAGGGCACACAGGCATACCTTGTTTAATGGCACCTCATTTTCATAGTGCTTCGCAGATACAGCATTTTCTTTTTTTAGAAATTTTCACCAATTTTACACTTTTCCATTATTATTATATCTGTTAAGGTGATTTGTGATCAGTGAGCTTTGATGTTATCATTGCAATGATCTTTGTTGTCTTTTAGTCTTTTGAAATAATTTTTGTTCTTTATTTTTTGGGTACACAGTAGGTGTATATACTTACGCGGTACGTGAGATGTTTTGATATGTGCATGCAATGCGTAATAATCACATGATGGAAAATAGGGTATCCATCCCCTCAACCATTTATTCCTGTGTTACAAACAATCCAATTACACTCTTTTAGTTATTTTTAAACGTACGATTAAGTTATTATTGACTATAGTCATCCTGTTGTGTGTAAATGCTTTGGGGGTACTAGGAACTGCGCCCACAGATGACGACGAACGTAACCGATCAATGTTGTGTGTGGTCTGACTGCTCCACGGATGAGCTCTTCCCTGCCTCTCTTCCTTTTCTTGGGCCTCCCTATTTCCTGAGACACAGCAATACTGAAATTAGGACAGTGAACAACCCTACAATGGCCGCTAAGTGTTCAAATGAAAGGAAGAGTCGCATGTCTCTCACTTTAAATCAGAAGCTAGAAATGGCTAAGCTGAGTGAGGAAGGCATGCTGAAAGCCAAGACAGGCTGAAAACTCTGCCTCTTGCGCCAAACAGCCAAGCCGTGAATGCAAAGGAAAAGTTCTTGAAGGAAATAATAGTATACACTGCAAAGGAAAAGTTCTTGAAGAAAATAATACTACTAATACTCCAGTGAACACAAGAATAAGAAAGCAAAACTGCGTTACTGCTGAAATAGAGAAAGTTTGAGTGGTCGGGATAGAAGATGAAACCAGCCACAACACTCCGTTAAGCCAGAGTCTAATTCAGAGCAAGACCCAAACTCTCTTCCAGTCCATGAAAGCTGAGAGAGGTGAAGAAGCTACAGAGGAAACGTGTGAAACTAGCAGAGGTTGGTTTGTGAGGTTTAAGGAAAGAAGCCGTCTCCATAACATAAAAGTGCAAGGTGTAGCAGCAAACCCTGATGGAGAAGCTGCAGCAAGTTACCCAGAAGATCTAGCTAAGATCACTGTTGAAGGTGGCTACACTAAACAACAGATTTTCAATATAGATAAAATGCCTTCTATTGGAAGGTGACGCCATCTAAAACTTTCATAGCTAGAGAGGATTGACTCCAACTTTGAAAGAAGTTCTACTGTGGGTAAAATGCTATCCAATAGCATCACATACTACAGAGATGTGCTTCATGAAAGGGAGAGCTAATCGATGTGGCAAATTTCATTGTCGTCTTCTTTTAAGAAACTGCCACAGCCACTCCACCCTTCAGCAACCACCACCTTGATCAGCCAGCAGCCATCAACACCGAGGCAAGACCCTCCACCAGCAAAAAGAGTGTGACTCACTGAAGGCTCAGAAGATTGTTAGCATCTTTAACAAAGAATTATTTTAAAATTAAGGTATGTACATTTTTAGACATAACGCTATTGCACACTTAGTAGACTACACTGTTGTGTAAACATAATGTTTTTATGCGCTGCCAAACAAACAAAAAACAACGTGTGCGACTCACTTTATCGTAGTGGTCTGGAACCGAACCTGCAATATCTCTGAAGTACACCTGTGTTGGGTATCAGGCATTGAGCTGAGTAAGCTATGATCCCAGGTTATCACAGGCAGAATTGCTTGAGCACCTTTCATGTCATCAGGCTTTCTATATTTAATTTAATACCTCCAAACAATCTATTAACTATGATTCTTTATTTCCATCTTATGGACTAGGAATCTGGAGCTGAGAAAATTTGGAAGACTTGCCCCAAGTCACGTGGTTTTTTATACGGACGTCAACTCCAGTCTGTGTCTCTGGAAGTCATGTCTAACATCTCATCTGGAGCTGGGCAAGCTCATCAGCCCAGCCTGGACCCAGGCTTGTCTGGGATCCATGCCACACACCCAGTCCCCACACCTGAACATAGCCAGGGAAGCCAGAGGGGTTATTCCTGGATTGTTTCCTCTTACCAGATGTCTTGTTAATCTTCTCAGAGGTACTTGGTTTTCCCGGGGGGCACGGCTGTTTCCCATCGTTCTGTGGGCCAGATGCTTCTGGCACTCCCTTCGAATCGTTGCCTTCCTCTGCTGGCTTCTTGAGCATGATCTTTGTAATGTGAAGGTCACAGATAAACAGTATCAGTCACATTTCTATAGTGCTTTAGAGCTTACAAAGCGTCTTCACACGCATTACCTTAATCAATGTTCTCAACAACGCTGGGAGAGTTACACTTACCTAAATAAGGAGAAACCTGGGAGGTTAGAAGGGAAAGGAATGGCCTAAATGAATGGGGTGGAATTCCAGGGCTAGAATGCTTATCTTTACACTCTTTCAAGACTGACATTTGTGCAAACAGCAGAAATCTCCATGTAATTGAGAGTGTGGTGTACAGAAGTTTTGTAGAATAGCATTCTAAGACTTCACAAGGTCTACAAAAGGAAGAGCTTCTATAAAATACAAGGGATCCCAATATAAGCTTGTAGACTGCTGCTGGGAGAGTAAATGTAAAGACATAGAGAGGGGACAAAACGCTGCTGGGAAAGATGATGTGGGGCAATGAATACTGGGAAGAGAGAGGGAAAGAAATGGTTTGCTGAAATTAACCCAGACATCAAAGAAAGCAGTACCAGATATGGCATACCACCCTACCGAGGCACCAACATTGAATGTGGAATTCAGTGAGGTGGTACCCATACCAATTCTGCTTGCATTGGGATGTGTCACTGACCAACAATATTAAGCTACTCTTTTATTTTTGTGTTTTTGTTTTGTTTTGATTTTGTTTTTGTTCTGGTTTTTGAAACGGAGACTTGCTCCGTCGCCTGGCTAGAGTGCAGTGGTGTGATTTCTGCTCACTGCAATCTCCCCCTCCCCCGGTTCAAGTGATTCCCCTGCCTCAGCCTCCCGAGTAGCTGGGACTATAGGCAGGCACTACCACGCCCCACTAAGTTTTGTGTTTTTAGTAGAGATAAGGTTTCACCATGTCGGCCGGGATGGTCTCGATTTCTTGACCTTGTGATCTGCCTGCCTCGGCCTCCCAAAGTAAGGCTCACGACTGGCATTACAGTCGTGAGCCACCGCGCCCGGCCCTTAAGGTACTTTTTACGCAGCTTCCTCGCTTATGAAATAGTGAACAATACATGTAAAATAGGCTAAGGGAAAGTCCTCTCTGAGCTTGTAAACACTGTTTAAATGTAGTAATAATAACAATATCTTTCTGGATCCTTCTTTGAATTCGGTCTCCACACTGGCAACCCAACTTTATATGACTTTGGGACACAGACGCCACCACATACCTTTGCTATATTTCCCAGGCTGGTCTTGACCTCTAGGCTCCTCAATGATTTGAACCCCAGGAAGCAGAGGTTATGAGCTGACATCATACCACTGCACACTCCAGCTTGGGCGACAGGCAAGATTATCAAATAAATAAATAAATGGAAGAAAGAAAGAAGAAAGAAAGAAAGAAAGAAAGAAAGAAAGAAGAAGAAAGAAAGAAAGAAAGAAAGAAAGAAAGAGAGAGAGAGAGAAAGAAAAAGAAAGAAAGAAAGAAAGGAAGAAAGAAAGAAAGAAAGAAGAAAAGACAGTTGAAACTCTGTAAGAACAATAAGCTTTGTGGTATTTTTACTTACCCTCGTCCCATCTCATGTTCCCAGCTTGGTACTGTTCATTGTTGATGAAATACAGATAGGACTGGCCAAAAATGGTAGATGGCTGGCTATTGATCATGAAAATGTCAGACCTGATATAGTCCTCCTTGGAAAGGCCCTTTCTGAGGTTGATACTCTGTGACTTTCCGGTGCTGTGGGGCGATGGCATAATACTGACCATTAAACCAGGGGTGTGGTTACACATATGGTGGCAATACACTAGGCTGTTGCAGCATGAGGTTTTAGAAGAAGAAAACCGTGCTGAAAATGCAGAAAAAAATGGATACTATCTTGAGAAATGAACCCATGAAGCTACCTTCACAGTGCTGTAACTCTTAATAAGAGGAAAATGATTGCTTGTTATTCATTTAGTTATTTTTTTTTTTGGAGTCAGAGGTTCACTCTGGTTACCCAGGCTGGAGTGCAATGGTGCGATCTTGGCTCACTGCAGCCTCTGCCTCCTGGGTTCAAGCGATTCTCCTGCCTCAGCCTCCAGAGTAGCTGGGATTACAGAGCATGTGCCCCTGTGCCCAGCTAATTTTTGTATTTTTAGTAGAGATGGGATTTCACCATGTTGGCCAAGCTGGTCTTGAACTCCTGACCTCAGGTAATGCACCTGCCTCAGCCTACCAAAATGTTGGGATTACAGGCATGAGCTACTGTGCCCAGGAGGAAAAGAATTTTAAGCGCGGTGTTATTCAAGACAACAAGGTAGTGATGCTTGGAAGGTATGTCGACTTGGAATTGTGGACTTCTGGCCAGGCAATCATGACATCATAGTTTTTCGCCTCTGCTGGTAGTCAAGGAGGATGACATTCGAGAGTCCAGTGAAATCATTAACAAGACTATCTTATGCGTTCCTAAGTGCTAACCCAGCTGTTTCCAGTGGTAGCAGGGCGACTGCAGACAGGTGGTCCTATAAAGCTCTGCTCTTAATGCAGGCACATTCCACTCCCATGTGTCTTCAAACCTTTTCTGGAATATATGTTTTTTTTTTTTCAGTTGATACATAATAGAACAACGTTTATGAAGCTCCCTTTTGCTTTGTAACATAATAGAATGTAATGACATCTACATTCAGTGAAACTGTTTTGATGTGGGGCATGGCCGGGCTGCAGTGGTTCATGCTTGTAATCCCAGCATTTTGGGAGGCCGAGGTGGGCGGATCACTTGAGGTCAGGAGTTTGAGACCAGCCTGGCCAACATGGAGAAACCCCATCTCTACTAAAAATACAAAAATTAGCTAGGTGAGTTGGTGAGTGCCTGTAGTCTAGCTACATGGGAGGCTAGAGACAGGTGAATCACTGGAACCCGAAAGGCAGATGTGTAATGAGCCGAGATCATGCCACTGCATTCAGCCTAGGTGACAGAGGATAATCCCTCTTGGGGAAAATAAAAGGTACAGAACATTTCCATCACCACAATGCTATCCCTTGTACTTTCTCATTTAAGTAATACTCACTCTCCTCCCATCCACCATCCCTACCCCCTGGCAACCACTAAATCTGTTTTCATTTCCCACAATTTTGTCTTTTCTACAATGCCTTCAAATGAAATATATAGTATATGACATTTAGGAGCTTAGCTACTCAGCATAAATACCTGGAAATTCACCAAGATATTAATATTTGTGTATCAATAGTTCATTGTTGCTGTTGTTGTTGAGACAGTCTCACTCTGTCTCCTAGGCTGGAGTGTGGTGGTAGATTACAGGCATGCATCATCATGTCGGTCTAATTTTTGTATTTTTAGTAGAGATGGGTTTCCCATGTTGCCCAGACTGGTCTCGAACTCCAGGCCTCAAAGGATCTGCCCTCCATCCACCTCGACCTTTCAGTGCGCTGGGATTACAACGCTCAGCCTACCATTGAGTTTGGAGTACTTTGCCATATCCATTATATGTTCTGAATGTGAGTCCTGTCTTGGATATGTGGTTTGCAAATATTTTCTCTAGTCAAGACCATGTTTTTTCATCCTTTGCTGAGTTTCTTGCAGAGCCTGGGATTTTAAATTGGTGAAATCTAATTTATTTGTTTTCCTTATGGATTATGCTTTTATGTCATTCTGCCTAGACCTCAGACGTTTGTCTGTAACTTTCTTGTAAAAGTTTTTTTTTTTTTAGTTTTATATTTTAGATTTAAAATTTATGACCCACTTCAGGTTTTTGTATAAAGCGCTGAAGATTAGGTCTGGTTTTTTTTTTTTTTTTTTTTTAGCCTATGGCTCTGCAACTGCTCCAGGACCATTTGTTCAGCAGATGATCTTTCCCTTCTTTTGTCTCTTTGTAAAAAATCAGTGTGGGGATATTCATAGGTTCTCTATTTTATTTACAGTGATCTGAGTGTCTATTCTTCTCCCAATACTATACAGTCTTGATTCCCGTAGCTATATAAAATTATTGAAATATGGTAGAGCCATTCCTCCACCTTATTCTTCACTTTTCAAAAATTGTCTTAATATATACACACACACACACACACACACACATATATACAAACATATATATATATTTTAGGTACAGTCTGACTTGTGTTGCCGAGGCTGGAGTGCAGTAGGGTGATCGGCTCACTGCAACCTCCGCCTCCTGGGTTCAAGTGATTCTCCTCTCTCGGCCTCCCTAGTAGCTGGGATTACAGGCGGGTGCCACAAACCTGGTATTTTTGTATTTTTAATAGAGAGGGGTTTTGCCATGTTGGCCCAGGCTGTCCTTGAACTCCTGACCTCAAGCAATCTGCCAAATCTCAGCCCCCAAAGTGCTGGGATTACAGGCATGAACCACCGGGCCCAGCATTGTCTAAGCTGTTGAAAATTTGTTGGCAACAGTAAAATGAAAACATGGGGCTTATTTGATAGTGATGAAACAAAAGAGAAAGTTAAGAAACAGACTAATCTATATACAAGAAACTTCAGCATGCACATTTCCAAATGGGAGGCGAAAGATGATGGGTTGTATAATAAATGATTGCTTGACAAGTGTCTATCCATTTGAAAAAACGAAGATTAAATCCTTACTGTAGACACTGTAAAATAACAAATTCTAAAAATTCAGTGGCGTAAATGTAAAAACATGAAATCATAAAGAACTAGATGAAAATGGTAAAAGATTACAGTGTAGAACATCTTCGAGTTGGCATAGGCACTTCCTGACATTACACCAACGCTATAAACAATGAATCTGACATAAGATCTTAAAATTAAAGTATCATCTAATTCAGAAGACACCATAAACAACTGTTTAAAAAGGTAAATTTTGGGGAAGTTGGTGAAGCATCCACAATAAATCAGCAGTAACTGTCTCTAATATAAAACAAAGCTTTTGCATATCAACAAGAGAAACTTGGAACAGCAATGAAAACATGTGTTCAGGCATGGCACTGCACCGTATAGCAGAAAGAGTTACAAAATAGAAAGTATGAAAATAATAAAGGAAATGGAGAATAGATCCCAGAAGTTTCA